TGCATTTGCAAAACTATGTTTCTATGGTGCATTTACATACATACCACACAATTCTTATGTACTTACATATTTGTATGTCTTCTTTTTTGGCTTCTTCTTGAAGTATCAAAGAGTTATGGCGTCTGATAGGGAAGTTGAAAGAAAGCATGGAACTTAGAAAAAACTGCTGAAAGACTCTTATATCCTATACAGTGCATACGGTTCTTGCGGGGCCGATTATCAAAAGGCGGGCGTTCTCAAATTTCACTCCAGATCTCACCCCTAGAGAGGCTTTCTTTGCAGAGCCGAGGAAGTAGCGGGTTTAGGTCGAGGAGAGAACGACTCTGGTGGGAAGAAACTGAAAGGGGGAGTACGTGGTTCTTTTTATGCATCAGTGGGGTAAGTCGCATAACCACAGATCCAGAATCTTTCTCCAGATCTCGCCTCGCCATTGAGGGATCGTAGCATCTGCGGCTTCATTTAGGACTTGTTTGTAATCCTCACAGCCGCTGATCCCGTCGATGCCTTCTTCTCGTTTAAGCTCCTGGCGACTTTCTCACTAGAGAAAAGAGGGGGAAGAGGAGATAAAAGAATGGATCGGGGCAGCAGGGTAAAAAGAATAGGCGAAACGCCGGTTGCGGGGTATAGCCAGCGGCTGGCTTTTTGTTGAAATCCGACCGCGCGGCTCACTCAAAGCTCCCCCGCCGCTGTGCCAAACAGACGAAACAGCGGCAGCTTGCCGCGACGCTCTCCCACAGTCCCGCCAAACGGACCTTTAATTGAATCATCCACCAAGGAACAATTGAAGTTCTGAAAAACTCTTGGGAGGTAATTCAGAACAACACATCAACTTCGTGCACACTAAAGTAATATATCTTTTTCCCTTTATACTAGTAATGGGAGATTTAAAACTTGGTTTATAGATTTATGAGCCTATGATTGGAGATATCACTGCTCTAGTCAATTATCAAAAGGCTTTTACATCTAAATCGAACTTGCAAAGAGATCACACTAAAAAATTGCTAGAAAAGGTGACGCAGAACTCTCTCAGGATATCACTCTTTCTTCCGTTTTATATGTTTCACAATTGAATTTCAATTTAATTTTTATCAGTAAGCTTACTCATACTATGAAACATGGAACTAAATTTTTTGCAAACTCATGAATTTCATGTGGTTGAGTTGGGGAAGGTGATTGGCAGTGCTGTAATGCATCAAGGCTTATTATACCTGATTAATGAAAGTCTCTCTCCAAACACACTATCTTCAATTTTTTTCACCATTCTCTGAGTATTAAGTATATGTCTGTCGAAAAATAGGTCATGTTATGGCATTGTCACGTTGGTCATTCTAATTTCAACTATGTTGGAACTCATTTGTTTATCAATAAAAAATTTAGCGTTCATCAATGTGAGATTTGTCAACTTGCCAAATACACTAAAAATTATTATCTAGTGACCTAGTATTCCTCACACCCTTTCTCCATTATACACAATGATATTTGGGGACCTTCAAAGGTGAAATTCTAAGTGAGGCTAGATAATTTGTCTCATATATTGATGATCACGCTAGAACTATTTGGGTATTCCTAATGATGGAGAAATATGAAATTATTTAAAATTTTCCAAATCTTTCATGACATGATTCAAAATCAATTCTAATGCAAAATTTAAATCCTTAAAATTGATAATGGAAAAGAATATTTCAACTTTATCTTTAGTTCATATATTTTGAAAGTTTTAATTATTCATGAGAGTTCATTTATTGATACATCACAACAAAATGAGATAATAGAGAAAAAGAACAGACATCTCTTTGAGGTTATCCCGCTCAATTAAGATTTCTCATCAAGTTCTAAAATATTTTTTTGGGGGAAATAATTTATACTGCAATATATCTTATCAATTGAATGTCTAATCGGGTACTTCAAAACACTACTTTATGTTTTGATGATTATCTATCTTCACATTAGAATTTTCTCTCTTATTATACCACTGAAAATCTTTGGGTGCCTATCCTTTGTTTACATCCATTTCCCAACGCGTACTAAACTTGATCATATATCTATTAAATGTATTTTCCTCGGATATGCCTTCAACAAAAAAGGGTATAAGTGCTACTCTCTTTTTACCAGAAAATACTGCAATGCTATGGATGTCACATTTTTTGAAAATTAATCATACTATCCCAAATTTGATGTTTAGGTGGAGAGCACAAATGATCATTAATTTTGGGATGCACTTGATAGCACCTACACAACAACGCCATCTACTATTTTTCCTACTCTTCATTCTGAATCTCCTGCCCTTATTGAGGATATCTAACCAATCCAACCTGAAATCCACAACAAATAACTTCGTGTGTACGCCAGGAGAAAGAAAAATTTTGAGTAGGTAGAAGAACATACAATGGCAGAACTGCATAAACCAAAATCCAAAGCTATGGTTACCTTAAAATTCGGGTGAGGAGTCTAGTACTCGTGAGCTATCCCTTTCCTCTTCTGGTGCTGATGGTGAGGAAAATTGTACTAGATACACATGTCAGGAGTATGTAGCGTATAGAATGCCATCCACAACCTATAGAGTGTTTATATCTTTTCTTGATCGTGTGCAGTTTCTTAGACCCATTCAGGAAGCTCTGGAAAATATAGAATGATGGAAAGCGGTTAAAGATGAGATTCAAGCACTAAAGCATAATGTCACATGGTTTTTTACTAAACTTCCTCGAGATAATAATATAGTTGGTCACAACTGTGTATTCAACATCAACTACAAAGCCGATGGTAGTATTGAGAGATTCAATGCTAGATTTGCTGCAAAACGTTTCACACAAGCATATAGGATTGACTATCAGGATTCCTTCGCACCAGTTGTCAAACCGAACATTATCATAGTACTTTCAGTAGCAATTAACAAGGAAATAGGACTACATGAACTTGACATAAAAAATGTTTTCCTGAATTGAGATATGGAAGAAGTGTACGTGAAGATGCCACCTGGATTTGAGAATGATTCCAAAAAAACACTTGATATGTAAATTCATGAAGTCTCTCTATGGGCTTAAGCAATCACTGAGGTTCTGATTGAAAGATTTGCTAAAATTATGATATCTAATGAATATTTTCAAAGTCAAGCTGATTACACAATGTTCATAAAACATGCACAGGGAGGTAAGATTGCTGCATTGATCGTATATGTGGACTATGTAATTCATATTGGTGACGATGAAAGGAAATTCTTAAAATCAATGTAGTGTTTACAACTGAGTTTGAAATCAAGGACTCGGGAAACATGATTTATTCTGTAGATATGGAGGTATCAAGGTCTAAGAAAGTTTGTTATATCATAAAGGAAATATATCCTAGATCTACTGAAGGAGATGAGAATGATTGAATGCAAACTTACTGAAACTCCAATGGAAACGAACAAGAAGTCTTACAGGGGAGGAGAAAGTATTCCTATGGATAAGAGAAGATACTAAAGATTGGTAGGAAAACTCATCTATTTATCACATATCAGACCATATATTCTATACTCTGTCAGTATAATGAGTCAACACATGAACAACTCAAATGAAGAGCATTTAGAGATGATTTACATGATTTCGAGGTTTCTCAAAAAGACTTCTGGTTATGGATTAATTTTTGAGAAAACCAAAAAATAAAGGTGGAAGTCTAAACACATGCTAGTTATGCTGGGGAACTCGCTGAGAAAAAAATCCATCACTTGTTACTGCTTTAGTTTATGGGAAAATCTGGTTATATTGAGAAATAAAAAGCAACTGTTGTTTTTAGAAGCAGTTCTAAATCAAAGTATAGAGAAATCTTCTTGAAAATTTGTGGAGGTATTTTGATGCAAAAGTTGTTGAGGGAAGTGGGGTGTACCTCCAATAGGCCTATACATAATATTTTGTGACAACCTAGCAATTATCAGTATTGCCAAGAATCTTGTGCATCATTACAAGATCAAGCATAGACCCTTCATCTCTGAAAATGTTAATTGGAGAGTTATAAAGCTAAGGTACATTTCGATGTGCAATGTCTTCATCAAAGCTCTCCCTTTAAGCACTTTCTCAGAGTTCAATACCAAGTTTGGCCTCTACAACATCTATAACCCAACTTGAGGGAGAGAAATTTGAAAAGATCTAGTTTCCCACTCTCTCTATCATGTGGTTCAGCCACTAGCTTCCAAAACAAAATTACTCTATCATGTGGGTCGGCCACTAGCTTCCAGAACAAAATTTGATTGGGGTTATTAGCTTAATAAACTCTTGATTAATTTAATTCCTTCATATTCTATGTTATTTTATTTTTATTTCAAAATTGTTTTATTTCTTAATTTGGGATAGATATATTTGGTTAGTTTATAAATAAGGAGGAAGGAATTGATTTCCCTATATATTTACCCTGCTTGAGAATATTGTAATTAGCTTTTCTTTCATCCCAAAACCCGTTTCAACAATATATATAATGTAAACTCCAGTGAAGAGCACAAGAGTAGCCATGAGGTGTAGAGATACTTGTTCGAAGAAGGCTAAGTAGGACACACACACAGACACACACACACACGCACAGACACACACACACACACACATAATGTAAACTCCAGTGAAGAGCACAAGTGTGCCATGAGCTGTAGAGATACTTCTTCAAAGAAGGCCAATTGGTAGACGAACGCTATCAGGCTTGCGAAGGAAAACCAAAATCAGAGGGTATCAGAATGCATGGCAGCCTACCCTTCTCCCGACTAACTTTCTTATTCTTATAATTTAGTTATTGGTTGTGTGGGTGATCCCATTTTATCACATCTGTTGCATGTTGAAACTTTCGAGTTAAAATCCGTCCAAACTTTTCTTCTGAAACTAGATTTGTCATTTTTAATTTAGATCGAAGTCAACAAATAGCTTTTATGCTTAATTGCATGCTTCCTGTAATAATTGCTTGCTTATTATATTGATTCATTACATCTAAATCTACATCGCATTTATCAAGCACTTAATAAAGTCAAATATTACAATATTCAGGCATGCTATCCAGTTGATGTCACCAGCTAGCATTGTGGCCAAAACAAATGGAAGAGAGAAAATCTGCAAGGTATCAAAATCTATTGAGCATCATTATTCCATTTTTTTTTGTAATATCAGTAATTTTTTAGTCTAATAAATTGTCTCAAATTAATTTCACCAGGCTGATATTGAAGAAGTTGCTGCTCTTTATCTTGATGCCAAGTCTTCCGCTAGACTTCTTCAGGAACAGCAGGAGAGATATATTTCCTGATGTTCCATTAACTGGTCTTGTTTACAACAAAACCCAAGTATTGAAGGCATTGCCAAAATCAGTCATTCTCTTCAGCTTTCAGTCTTCATCTGGTTTGCACTGCTTTAGGTCTTGCTGAAATTGACAATCTTTTGAGAAGGAAATGGAACAGGTTCTGCTGCCAGCGAAATTTGGGGGTTGGGCTTTGATGTTGGGAATGGAAGGAAGTGGAATACAAATGATGAGATTTTGATTTGAAGTTATTCTTTATGAACTTTGAAGTTGGAACGAGTATTTATCGTTTTGGTCAGGTTTTGTTCTATTAGCTTAATTATTGACATTTTAAAATTTACTTCCAGAATTCTGTAAGTAAATTTTAGTTTTCTTTAGTTTGGTTAGAAATTGTTTATATAAATTATTTATTGCGAGTTTCGATGAATACATTATCTCGCCATTAACATTATGAATGCTCGATTTCTTTTTTTTTCATTTTTTTAAAGAATTTCACAATATATATCTGCACGTAAATTTAATATGTAAATTTTTAAGGATAATTTCATGTACTGTATTTAAATATTGTTATTTATAAAATAATCATTAAGATAATATTTATATGTTATCGAATTGCGTGTCTCAATCAAATTACTGAGAATTACATAAAAAATTAAAACTATGGGATGGAGAATCTATGTTGCACACGTTTGTAGTCAATAAGAGTAGTGTAGTCAGACGTGTATCCTAAATTTTGCAGGCATCTTAAATTTATGAACAAAAAAAGCTGAAAAATATTTATTAAATTAGAATAAGAAAAGTTTAAAATTTTGGAAAGATTTGCATATATACAACTTAATTCTTATGAATTTATATATCTAATGCCAAAATTTTATTTTTTTCATATTTGTCATCTTGGGTAAGTATAAAAATGAAAAAGAAATATTTTATTGATTTGATTTATATATTTTGATGTGATATGAAATATTTGGGAGGCGTAAATAAATTTAAATATAGGGGTAAGATATGTAAATACATAAGGATTCAATGGTGTGCACGTAAACAATTAACCCTCCAAAATTTATTAAATAAAAGTTTAAATCTTAAAATATAAAGTGATAAAACCTAATAATGTATCTTGTGAGTCAAATTCAAATGTCTTCGTCCTTCGATTTGCTTCGATTTCGCTGTCCTCCATTTCGGTCTTACCCTTGAGAACTTCTCTAGGCTTAGTGCTTCGCTACTACCTGCCAGCCTTGAATGCTTCGTTGCATTGTTGGTTCACAACCCATACTCTTTTCCTCTGCTTAACGATAGGCGACTAGCTAGGGATTCGACTTTTGAGTTTGGGCTATCATATTGGCTCTTTAGTCTTTAAGTCTCTCTGCAAACAGCAAGTGACGCCTCTCGATAGTGACCGATTACAATTACATACTCATATCTTCTCATTTATTATTCCAAAAATCAAAATGAAACAAATTTGAGTGAAAAATCTAGTTTTAGGTTGAAATTAAGAATCCTCTAATGTTTTGCAAACTTTTATTTAGTTCATGCACATTTTTTTCTCCATATAGATTACATCCCTTCTTTGATGTCATTTCTACATATTGATAGTTTTAGTTAGAAATCAAATTAATTTTTAAAGTGAAAATGTCAAACTATTTTTTCAAGGTTAGAAAGAAGCGACCACCCCAACCCCAAATTACATTAACCTAAATTTCCTTGTTTTATTGTGGCCAACATAACTTAGTAAGATTATGCTAATAACTTCATTTTGATACACCTCTTGAGGAGTACAAATTAATATTCATACATATATGTGTCTATAACAATGTTTGTAGATGGTGTCTACTTTTTGAGCATGACATTACGCTTAATCAGTAGTGAAACTTTTTTCTGACAAATTCTTATTTAACTCATTCAAATAGTATATAACTTCCTATATATTGTTGTATAATTTGTTCTTGTGAGCAGACATAATTTGAAATTTACAATTGCATTCATTTTAATGTCATCTAAAATACATCTTATGTCTATTGTAAAATGCTTGGTAAAGAAAAATGAGTTCTACTGGAGATGAATCTAGACGTAGTGATGTTTCAACTAACTTAAACATAGAAAAAAATAAGCCATTGTGGAATCTTGTCACTAAGCAAGGATAATCAGATGAAGGTAGAGTAAATATTGCTTTTAAATGCAACTATTTTGCTGTCACTTATAAATGATAGTTTTTAAGAGTAAAAGCTCACCAACTTAAATTGGTGGTCAAGGAATGTAGCATATCGTGAGAAAGACAAGATATGTGAAAGAGAAAATAATTGGTGACTTTTGGTCAGATATAATTGAATATATTCTATCTTTTATTGATCCCATTTATCACATTCCTTGAGCTGCAGATGTAGATATTCCATGCTTGCATTTATTTTTTTTGATGTGGGATAGAATATTATGTAAAATGAAAGAATAAATATATAAATCACCTAAATCTATTTTTTTTTTATTTTAAAGACATATTTCTTTTATTTCATTAAGTTAGAATCACCTAAATCCAAATTTTTGTTTTTTTTTATATTCTTGGAATATATTCAAGTAAGTAATGATTGAGGAAAATCATCAACATGTTTCCCATCAAAGAGATTTGAAAATTTCAAATAAGAGAAAAGTTTGTTAGAAGCATTATTTTCCAAATGATAAGGAAAGATGACGGATAAATATGGATTTAGTTTTTTTTTTTGATATTTAGATGAATTTTGAATCAAGAGTCTTTACGTGATATGAGGAAAATGGATCCAAAGATGTGGTGGTTGATTCATAGAGTTTCAATGCCTTTACATCAAACTATACAGCTTCTTGAATAAGTTTCCTCCTTGTGTTCTAAGAGAAATTAAAGCACTTATTCATTAATGCAATTCCAAAAACTGATTCCAAAGTCCATTTTAGGGGAAAAAATGAAGGAAGAGTCACTAGTTTTCAATTCCAATGGTGTCTCACTCTAAAAATTCTGCTAGATTTGAAATTTTCAACCGAAGAAAGTTCATCAGTTTCGATGCGCAGAAGTTACATGATCAAGTCGAAGAAAGTTCGAAGAAAGTTCATCAGTTTCGATGCGCAGAAGTTACATGATCAAGTTCTTGTGAAGAAGAGGCTAATCAAAGAAAGGGTGTTTGTGAATCGAGGATTCAACGAATCGAATACTCGGGTAGAAGAGATTATTGCGCACAAACGCTGGGAAGTGCTTTGCTACACTACTTCCCCCGTAGTTGTTTCTGTGGTGAAAGAGTTTTATGCAAATTTTCATGGAATCAACCAAGGATTTGTCTAAATGCGAGACATGTTTGTGCAATTTAGTACTTGAAGAATAAACAAGATGTTTATGATTGAAAATGTGCCTATTTTCTACTACGCTAACTTTAGTCCTACGAGAGATAATATGAATGAACTCTATCGACACCTTACAGATGAAGATATGAATTGGGAGGTCAGAGTTGATGGAAATGTAAGATTTTATTTATCATTGTTAAATCCTACTTCTAAGGCATGTCACTTCTTTTTTGCATAGAAATGACTTCCCACCATGAAAATCAGTAATTTAAATAAAGAGAGTGTTATTCTGACCTATTGTATTCAAACTAGAAAACCTGTTGATATTGGTGCAATAATTGTGAAATTGGTTTTGGGTTTGATTGTCAATGGATTTGCAACTGGACTGGGACATCTATTCACCATTTTCCTACCTTGCAGCTAATCACAAGTATCTTATGAGAGTTGGGAGAAAGGGCTTCTTCCTTGGAAGCCGATGGATCCAGAAGTTTATTGCAACTCAATTGGAATGGGAGATGGGAATGATATGAATATACCGATGGATCAAACATCCCAGAATTCATCACCTATTCAGCCTTGCTTCAGTTCAAACATACTTTTGAAAAAGATAAAGAAGATAGAAAATGAGGTACAAAACCTTATGCATGCAATTGGGAATGTTTCTGAAATGTTGGATCATCTGGATTAGAGATTGAAGGAACATTTTGAACATACTGGTCATAATGAAGATGATTTAGTAAATATGTTCAAGAAACATGCTTGGATTGGGGAAGATTCAACTGATGGATTTCCTTATCAACTCTTCTACAACTTGTATGTACACTACCGATCTATGGGAGATATCCATGAGGATGAGAGCGAAGAAAATGTTTGAACTTAATCTATGCATGAAATATTTTGTTTAGTACTGTATGTTTGTGTTAATGTGTTATGTTTGATTGCATTTACTTTTATTTATTAAACTCTAATTATGATTGTGTTTAGTATTTGAATGTTTAATTTTCAGTGTTAGGATGTTTTGGTTTGCTTTAGACACTGAATTAGATATTTGTTGGCTTGAAAAATGTTAGTTTGTATTGCCTCAAATGATATATATAAAAGCAAGTTTTGTATTGTTTGTGAAAGTTTGGTGTTACAGTAATGTTTAAATTATAATTATAAATGTTCATTTGAGTTAATTAGAGGAGGACGTAAAGCAAAATACAACAGATTTCCATAGAAAACGAAATCTGGGAAAATTAAGGCATTGGTGCTAGATGTGCCAAATTGGTGCATGAAGTGTCACTTTAAAGAGAGTTAGCGCTTGATGTGCCAGATTTGGCGCTAGAAGCACCAAATTCTTGAAAACGCCAGATTGCCTAAAAAACCACAAAATCACACAATAAAGCTCCATCTTTACTGCTTGGGTCATCTCCTACCTCTATACTGTGAACTAGGGCTTCACATTGGGCGCATTAGAGAAGATTTTGGAGGCCAGAGATCTTAGATTTCATCTTCTCTTCATAAAAGCTATACTTTAACCTAGAAATTTTTGATTTCACCATGGATTTTTTCTACATTATAGAAGATCTGAAATTTGAAATTTTTGATGGAAAAATTTGAAGAAAACTCATGGTGAAAAGCTTCTTACCAGATAATCTTACTTGAGGAGTTAGATTTTTTATTTTGTAATTTATTAGGATTGAGGAGTTAGATTTTTTATTTTGGTTAGATTTTTTATTTTGTAATTTATTAGGATTTTATTTGGATTTTCATAAACACTCCAATGGCTCCACGAGTCAAGAGAGGAAAGCTGACAGATGATTTTGACGTAAGGAGATTTGTCAATTTCAAAGCCCAACATCTTGAAATGAATAGAGATTCAGAAATCTTAAATTTGATTACTAAGTACTATTATACTTAGAGTTTGAATCTAATTTATTAAATATTTTTCTTAAATATTACTATTTTATTTATTAAACTAAAGTATAGGAGTTATAAGTTAATCTCTACCCTAAGACATATGCTATTATGTAGTAAAAGTGT